TAACATGAATTTGCACAAAGAAGTGGAATTGGAAAAAGTTCTTTATAACACATTACAATTTCACAGAAAATACGTATATAGTAAAATCCATGTTAACGACCGGAAACAAAACTATTGGTATGAATATTTTTTTGTACTTTGAGCCTGTGCCAATTGATAGAAAAGAGAAAATTTTGACGGATCAAACTAAAAATTTGACATTTCTCATGGTGAATACGAACGTCAAAATTTTACCCTAGCTGATGGGGCTGGGTAAAATTTCAACAGATTCTAAATATGTATACACATAACATTGTTTGGCGGTTATAAAGATTACAAATCAAAATGGTGCATTGCGCAATAAATTGAAGCAAATTAAAAAGGCAAATCTTTGGCTTAAATACAAAATGTGCGATAAATATACTTAATATTTGTAGTAACAAAATATCTATTTGCCAATTCCAAGTATAATTGTAATATCATTTCTAGGCGGGAATGCATGTGGAGCTTATGTATAATTTAGTAATTTACTGTAAGTCACTAAATAGCCATAAAGTAAACACTAAAACAAAAATTATAAAAATGCGTGTAATATACTATATTAAAATATTACCAATATGTGTATATACTAGGTATGTAGGTATGTATTTGCAAGTGAATATATGAATACATACATAGAAATATATAAAATCATAAATTCTTTGGTAAAAACAAAGTCATGGACGTTTTTTGTTCGAAAGCAATAAATAAAGTATTTTTTTGCACATATCGAGAGATTATATTCAATAATACCCTCTTTCCGGACTTCTCACAAAAATGGATTTCTGATAGAAAAATCCATCTAAGACTTAACTGTCATCGGTGATATTAGTAGTTGCGTTCCAGCTGCTCACGATATTCATGATATTCACGATTTGCGGGTTTTTTTGCAGGAAAGCGTTCCAGGTACCAAAAAACCTGCACGTCAAACCGCTTTTGTGAGATTAATTTACACTCTCTCTCAGTCATAAGTTGCAGGTTTTAGTCCGAAGTTTTAGTCTTCCTGCAAGTTCGTGAAAAGAGTCAAACGATAGGCAGGGTTGCATTTGTAAAGAAAAACAGAAAGAAAAAACATTAAGCGCCACGGAGATAATCAAATAAATACGTCAAGCATTGCATATGTGTGAGGTTGGCTCGTGTCTTGCCCGCAAACGTTCAAATAAACGCGTTGATTCAACAAACAATTTATTTTTCTGTCCGCGCACTTGCTCACCACGACAATCAGATGGCAAGTGCGTTTGTTTATTGTCAAGCATAACGCCTGACGGTTGATAAAGATATTTGATCGTCTCCATGGCGCTTTACATTAAAACAAAATGGAAGTAGTTACAAGAAAAGAGGTTTTTCTCTTTCCAGGTGAGAGTTTTTGTTTCGCTCTCGCTCCTCTCTTTCAAGAGAGTAATTTTGTTATTTGACCGTTTTACAGGTTTTTACGTGAAGTTATCTGGAACGCTACTAATGCTGAACTTTTATAATGCTTGACAGAAGAATTTACTATTAAATTGAGTCAGAATTAATATCAGTGATGACAGGTACGTCCCAGATGGGCTCTAACATCACAAAGTAGATTTTGTGAAAATTGCAGATAGAGTTTATTGCATAAATATAAGCCCTCGATTTGCAGAATACGTGAGGTATTTGAGGACATATCGATTTTTAAACTTGAATTTGTATACTTAATAGGGACATAAATAATGTTACAACATTGAACGCACCCATTCCAATAGAGGAGTTGAACATACCCCGTTATTAATCCATGGCTTATGAAATATAACCTGTAGAGCGTTAGTCTCTGCCGGAAATGCAAAATTACTTCAGCTTTCACCGTGGAGTGGTCAGATAACGTGAACCATATCGCTGAATGTTAGTCTGCGGGTGAATAGGACTGTTGGAGCAGACTGGAGATGTCAAAGACCTCAACCGGGCGTGTCTGACAAGTCATCGAACCTGAATTCAGCGAAATTCGCTCCAAAAACGGGAAATCATGGCCCGAGACGCGAATGTATCGAAAAATCCTACAAGTCCATCTATTAAACAACACCAGGGACGGGGGGCTTTTAACCGTCGTACCGGACATTTTTTTACTGCAGCTTTGAAAAAAAAGAATGGGAAATTAAGCTAGCTCAGAAAAAATCTTGTTTACCGATGAATAAATGTCATCTAAGGAAGTATACGAACTAATTCTGCGGGTTGAAAAGGTCATCCAGCTACAGTCATGGTTTGGCGTGGTGTCTCTTACGATGGGGTCACTGTTTACTAAGAAACTGTTTAAAAAGCTGTTATAAAGCCGCTTAACTATTCTCTGTTCCAAAAGCAGTCATGGACTTTCCAGCAGGAATTTGCGCGATCATAACCCGGCACAAAAATTGTTGCGAGCATTCCTCTAAAGAATGGCCCTCTGTCAGTACTGATTTTAACTCGCTGGATATCAAATTGTGAAGTGTTTTACAGGACATGGTGTTGAACAACAGATACCTCAACATTGATTCCCTTTAGGCAACTTTTATGCGTGCTGTTGTCAAATTTCCAATGAATGAGCTGCGTGCGGCTATTGATGATTGGCAGGCCGACTAAAGGCGTACGTGAAGGTCAAAGGCGGACACTTCGAAGGGATATTTCCTTTTTGTATAACTTATATGTATGTATATAAACTAACATGTAAAAAATATGGTTCAATAACTTTCACTATTTTTACATTGCATAAACTGTGTGTTATTCAGTAAAATCGCCTTAAGTGGCAATAATCCCTTCCAATCCTCTGCCGAAATAGTTTGCATTCCCGGATCGAATGTACCTCGTCCATATACTCTGTCTGTCGTCTGTTTCAGTTTTCATCCTTCCATTTATGATACGAAAAAATTAAAAATTATCTGTAGTATATCAAGCCTTTACCGCCAAAAAGGCCTAAGCGATATATATTTTTTTTTTAAATTTTTATTTTTAATGCAGCAGGGATGGGCAGATTTTTGGCTCTTGAAGCAGTCAAACAGCCAGCAAGTTTTCAGGGTAAAGGGCGTGTTAAAAATACATTAAAAGCATCATATTACTAATGAAAGCCGGAGTACAAGAAATTTTAATACCCTTTTCTTCTCCCTTCATGCTGTACTTGTTGTTACCCCTCATCTAGCACCAAGCCAAGCCGGCTTCTAAGTTCAAAAGTCTCCTGAGAGCCACTTTGCCCCTCTCTGCTCTAGAGGGACATTTCTGCATCAAAAAAAATAAATAATAAATGCCGCTTGCGTCTTTTTGGCGGTTAGGGTTCGATATGTGAGTATCCTCAAATAACTGACGCACCCGGTATGCTGCTGCTTTTGCGTGGATATGTGAAATAAAAGTAGTATAATTTATTTTTTAGCACACTACTGTGTGTATGCGCTTTAAATATAGTTGTTATACTTCTCTTGTTAGTTTGGTTTAGGAAGAATTTGCAATTTCTGCTGTATTGTTGCACAGTTCTTATTGCATTAGATTGAGTTTAGTTTCTATCGATGAGTACTATTTTTAATTGTTCTTTTTAATACATACTTAATGCGCAGCATTGCTTCTTTTTTATATAATTTTTTTTTACTATTATATATACTAATAAATTGATTTTATTTTCTGCGTTTACGGAAATAATTAATGGGCTTATGAATGTGTTTTTTTTTTTTCTTAAAGACATTACATTAAAGTTTAACTAAATGGTTTTTATAAGTTTTTGTTTTGCCTCTTTACTGTTCGTTAGTGGACTAAATTGCGGATTCATGCATGCAACGTTAGAGTATTACTGTTTATGTGAATGAAAATGTGTAAGTATGTCTTTTTTGGGTTAAATGTAGTTTAATATGTTTGTATGTAAGTTTTATGATTTTGAATTAACCTCCTTAATTCGTGTCTATGTAGCACATGCTTTTCTGTATTCAATTTTCTCCTGTATTGAGCATATGTATGTATGTATTTCTAAGTATGTATGTATGTATGTTGTTAAATTAATTGTAACTTTATTTATTTTGTTTGTATGCGTTGTATTTGCGATGAATCCTAGTATTGTTTAGTTTACGTAGTATTTCTGCTATTAAATTTATTTCCTTACTTTGCTTATTAATTTACAAAAATTCTATGCGAGCTGGCGCTCACCCTGCACGCTTTGCAATACATATTTCCTCCTTACCTAAGGCCAGCCTGTTGCCGAGACATTACATCATTAAATTACGCTTTTGCGTGCATTCTATAAGTAGAAATTAAAAAAAAAATATATTTTTTGGTTGCCTGCCGTATAAGCTTCCAATTTTTTTTTATCATTAAACAGAGTTGCATCGTTTTGTGAGTTAATTTCAAAGCGCCTTGTAAACGTTTTGTGTGTATGTGTGTGTGCTTTTTTATAAAAACATAAACTCTTAGAGGTAAGCATACTAGGTACAACTGAAAATGTCAGCTCTAAAACTTTTGTATAGAATGCTTTTTTTTAGAAAACATTAACAAACACTTTTAAAACAGGCAGCGAATTTTGTTCGCTAATCTCTTATATACAACCACGGTGCGCTAGCGCTTCGTAAAAATTATGCAAGCAAGATTTCAGCATGCCAAAAGTTTCATCCGCAAATTTCGAAGTTTAATATTTCGTTAAGTTACAATTGTTAGATTTTTTGTGAGTTCTAGCGATTTGTTAAACTCTTAACCATTTGCATGTATGTATGTATATTCCTACTGCTGCTTTTACAACTATCGTACACATACGTACATATATACATACATGGTAAAATGAGTATTAAAATTTACGTGTACATACATATTTTATTGCAAGACATTTGACGGCAGTACTTTTTTGCTTTTCTTTAACCTTTTGTTTTAGGTTGTTTTCTTTTCTTTGTTTGGGAGCTTCCTAACGTCTTAGATGTCACATTAAATAAGTAAATTAACTACAAATACATACATGTAAACATACATATGTATATACATATGTATGCGTATAATCTAAATTTTTATGCACATAATCTACATACATTTCACGCTTGCGATTTGCCAAGTACAAATTTTGTGTTATAACCTGAAAAAGCGAAAATTTATTAAGAAAAATTATGTACATAAATAAATTAATTTTTTTATAAAATATATTGGCTAAGTAAAGAATTCGGACAAGCATTTTCATTAGAACTTAAGCTAAAGTTTTGACCATTTATCATCTCTGATTTGTCAGCATCTCAATTGGATGAGTAAAATGCTCGAAAGGATATTCAAATATTTTCATGATAAGCGAGGAGTGAAGGGACTCGAATTGGAGCGTGAATTCGTTATTGGATTTGTGGTGAGAGAGAGACTCGCCGAGTACTGGCGTTCACTTCGGTGGACGATATTCTACCCATAATCCGCATCAAAGCGATATTCTTCCCCATCTCGCTCATGTTTGCCCAGACGGACGGAGGAGAGAGAAGTACGAAGCATCCAAGGCCGACACGATATCAAAATCGTGCTTAGCGATTTCAATGCCAAGGTGAAGGGAAAATTCAGCCTTCACGACGAAACGTCCAATAACGGACTGAGGCTGGTCGACTTCGCTGGGGCCCGAAACATGCTCGTATTCAGTACTAGGTTCAAGTATAAAATTATCCATCAAGTTACGTGACTGTTTCCAGTTCGATAAATGAGAACCCAAATCGATCACTTTGTGATGGACGAAAGGCACGCTTTTAGTATTTTAGACGTACGTACACTCTGAGGCTCAAACATCGACTCGGACAATTATCTTGTTGCCGCCGAGATACGCACCCGCCTCTGTGCAGCAAAAAATGTGCGCCCGAAAATGCAAGGAAAGCTTAACGTCGAAAAGTTGCAATCACTCTCACACCCGCTCTCAGAGAGCACGATTCAACCAACCGACATATGCGAGCAGTGGAACCACATTGCCCGCTCGTTAAGTACCATCACCGAAAAAATAGTTGGATTTCAGTGAGTATGAAGAAACTTCAAGAGAAAAAAGATGCCACCTAGAGGGCCAGGGTGCGATCGGGCGCAACGCTTGCTTTGTGGGACCGTTATAGGGACCTGAAGGCTTATTTGCCGAAATACATAAGTAGATAGAGGTCGAAATGCCGGCGGACAAGCAATTTTACCAGAGCGTTAGGCGACTTACGGAAGTTTTCAAGACTAGTAGTGGAGAAGATGAACCCGAGCACCCAGTCGATGACGATAGAGTGGACGATGTTCCACCACCTGACTATGACGAGGTACGAATAGCGATTATGTGGCTGAAAAACAACTAAGTTGCTGGAGTTGATAAGGTGCATGCATCAACTCTTGCAGAATATGGTCAGATGAACGCATGCCCGATGACTGGGATTTAAGTGCGATCTGCCCAATCCACCAGAAAGGTGACTCCGTCATATGCGCCAACTACCGCGAGCCCACCGTCAACGAACTCATTGGCCCTTATAAGTGTGGCTTTAGACCTGGGAAATCCGCCATAGATCAGATATTCATAACACGCTATATCTTGGAAAATACCTGCGAGAGTAGGTTCGAGTTGCCTATATGCTGCGAAGCCTAAATTAGAATAGGGAAGGACCGCTCGGAGCCGTTCACCACCAAACGGGGTTTCAGACAGGGAGACTCTCTTTCATGTGACTTCTTTAATCTGATAATGGATAAGATAATAAGAGCTGTAGAACTGAACCACTCAGGTGCAATTTACTACCAGAGCGTACAATTACTGACGTATGCTGACGATATCGAAATTATCGGTAAAAACCAAGGCTACGTCTGTTCTGCCTTCTCGGAATTAGATAGAGAAACAAAGCGAAAGGGGTATAGTGGTGAACGAGGACAAACTAAGTATCTCCTCTTATCAGACAAACAGTCAGATCATAAGCATTTTGGCATTCGCGTCACTGTTGACAGTTACAAGTTTGAAAAAGTAGAAGACTTGGTTTATTTAGAAATCAGTATTAACACGAATCACAAATTGCAATTGCAAATTGAATTGCAAATATCAGTAGGACCGAATTACTCCTGCACTTTACTATGCACGATTTATAGATTGTTAAAGAATTTCTTACTGGCCATTGTAGAATAGTGAAGAACTTGACTAACCAGGGAGTATTTCGGGTTGTGTTATGAGGAAGAGAAAAGGGTAGTATGTGCCACTGTGAAGCCATTACTAGGCCTAGACTTCGCTTCCTAGGACCACTGTACCTAGAAATGCATGAACTAAATAAGCACTCAGCACCAACCAACCAAATACAAGTTAATTGCAATATATCGGCCTTGGGTTGTACTCCTGCTCCTCTAAATAACGAACTAAACATATATGTTGGCAATTTCCGGTAATTAAATGATAAACAAAGGCTACTTATGCTGGATTTCCACTTTAAATGGCAAAAATGACAAATGACAGAGTCGGTCATTAAAAAATAATCGTGTCATTACATTAAAAAAATAATCATTAAGATCATTTCCACATGGCATTTTTTTAAATGGCAGACATTTTTTGTCATTTCAATGCCTAGTGGAAATTCGGCATTATGATTTGTCCGACTTCAATTATAAGCTGCTGAACATACCTGTTCGTTAACAGTAAAACATTTGTAGCAATCCGTTGTATTTCCGCATGCATGATAAAAAAATTGCATACTTTTAGGTGTTTTACGCAAAGACTTGATTGCGAATTGTTTACTTTTTGAATGTTGAGTGCAAATGCTGAGAAAGAAGTTGAAAAATACTGCTTGTTTGCTTTTGGTAGTATTCGACTATGAGAAAATTATTTCTTAATTAATTTTCTCTGTTACCGTTACGCTTTTGGATGGATTAATGAGCTATTAAATGTATCGATTTATCAAAATATTGCAAATAAATTTTTCGCTGTCACTCCAATGAATCGTAATTAAAACTGATTTACATAGTAATTTTATGCGACCGAGGCAAACTCAATGCAACCCTCTGCGCTTCCGTCTACAAAACTTAAATATTTTTTCCGCACTTAATTTCATTTAAATCTTGTCTCAACTCTCCATTTAGGCTCCTCGTATTCCGCATAATGTAGGCTGCTCTTCAGCAATTCCACGCCTTCACCAACTTCACCAATTGTTTAATAGGCTACCTTTTTAATTTTAGTAAGCAGCCGCTGGTCTTAAGACGCTCTTTGGTTTTGTGTTTTTTTTGCGACATCTGTATTATATTTTATTCCAGTTGTGTATGTGTGTGTTTGGTATTTTTTTGCATCAGTGTTGGCAAATTCAACTCAAAATTAAAAAGAAATTAACTAAACGACGTCTCATCTTAAATTTCCGTCTTACACATATACACATATGTATGCACTTATTTTATATATATGTATTTATACGAGTATATGTATGTATGTGTTTAGGTTTTTCTATAACTCGTATTTATGAATTTTGCACAGCGCCAATAGTATTGATATTGAAATGACTCGAAAATGTTGCAAACCAAACAAAGAACGCAGCTAATGTGTAGGGCAATGCGGATAGGATGGGATGATTGTTGTTCTGATACAATGTGGAGGCGGCATGATTGCAGAGTTCGGCTGTGCACGCACAATAGATGGCCTGCACGTCATGTGTGCCGGAGCGTTTCAAGCAAAGGCCGTCATCGGTACGTTCATCGGGTATGTAGCCACAGCCGCGTACCACGCGCACTTTGCCATAGACTGGGAGAGGAGAGTGTGGAAGAAATTTGGTTTTAATTAATAACGTTTCCGTCACTCCACGTAACATTACTCACCCTTTTGTGTGGTCTTGCGGCACAGCACTGGCTTGGAGTATTTGTCCTTGAGATGCTCTAGCGGCTCCTGCTGGGTGCAGTTAACCTTACCAAGGGTATATGGCTCAAAGGGATCACCACAATTGGGATCGTAGGCGCTGTTGCAGTCGTAACACATCAGCGCGGTGGTTGCTGGAAAAATATAAGCATACGAGGCATATTGAGGTTTTGATTAATACTGATTCGAGTAAAAATATGTATATTAATATATTGTCGCTACCATGTCAAACTATCGAAATTGAAAATAAGTATTTTTCAGGAGAGCAAAAAAACTGTTGTAAAAAAACCATATTACTCTTAATTTTTTAAATTTAGACCATCAATAATTTCCACAATTTCAAAATATGTAAAACTAAATATATTTTCAAATAAACTGATAGCTCATTTATTGCAATCGCATAAAAATTATCGAAATTCGGCGACTTTTCTTAAATACGGCCTTGAATTTATATTGTTCACGTGCCGGACTTTCATATTTTTGGAGCTGTTAAAAGTAAGCAACTCGTTTCGTCAGTTTCTCATTATCTCGTTAATTGTTATAATGTAATTGTAATTGTAATTGTATAATGTAATTGTATAATGTAATAAATTATATTTTGTCGTATTTTTACTCTTCTTTCTCTACATTTTTAGTACACATCTAAGCAAGTTAGGATTTTCTGCTTTTCACCACGTGGAAAAGCATCTCATCTTCCATCCGAATCAACCAAAAAGTGAAAATTGATTTTTTGACACCTAAGCCCCCTTTCCGTAGACCAGGTCACATATGTTTTTTTTTTTACTTTACCTAATAAAAAAACCCAACAAACCAAGTCCGACAATACATTATTATATACCATTTTAAGGACCTATATTCTCTTTTGTTAGATCTTTGAAATCGTATTTTCTGACCTAAATGGGCTGGTCGCGACCCCTAAATGATGTGACATTTGCACACTATGACTCGTTAGAGATTCTCAGCCAAACACAAAGTTGGCGTTAGGTTTACGTTTTTAATTAACTTATATAGCATTAGCAGACGCTTACTCGCCCATAATAAAGAAAAAAATTTTGAAGGATAAAAGGAATTCTATGAGATAATTTTACGTAACCAAATTGTGCAATGAAATCAAGTAGCCCTAGCCAGTAACTAAATTAATTAATTAAATACAGCTTATACACTTGCATATACATATGTATAAGTATTATGTAACTAAGTAACAACATGTCCTCAATAACCCATATCAGTTTACAATTAGTTACATACATACATACACATGGGCGTAGCCAGGTAGGGGCAAATTTTTGCCTAGTTATTCAAAAATAGTACCAGGAAATGCTTGCTCGATAATTTCGAAAAATTACACAGAATATTCTGTAGTTAAGTTTAACTAATGATTTAACTATACTTTAAAATAGATAAGTTAACGGCCCTTAAATTTATTTAATATTAATATTATTTTTTATTTATTACACGGTGTGACAAAAAAAAATCAAGTAATATATTTAACATAAACGAATATAACAGCATAAAAAATCTGCATAATCAAAATGTTCAATACGTCCTCATATTTATATGTACATCCATATTTATATAATTTAAGAGAAGATATTTCTCTGCAAAGCAACGATTATAAATTGTTAGTTTACCTTACAAAAATGCGGAGGAATATTGCAGAGTACACGAAAAAGTAATTTTTTTTATTTTGAATAACGTCTGGTCCGGCTACTTGGTTTACTATACAGGTAAGTAGAGCTATGAATTTAAAAAATACATCAGGGTTTAGTTGAGATATTCGCCTTTGACCACTATGTTCTGTACATTTTGCAGTACTGCAAAGCTTTTTTAGCTCACTACGTCCGGATATTTATATCCATGAATCCTCTGGGTAGCGGCCGAACACTAGCTTGGGGAAGGTACCTCTGCCCGGCTGGTTGATGTCCTAGGGAAAATAAAGGCTGACGTCACCGCCATCTATGAAATACGATGGACGGGGCGAGGAAGGTATGCGTTAAGCCTTGCGACGTCTACTGCAGTTGCTACGTAAAGAAACGCAAGCCGGTGTTGGATTTGTGGTGGGAGAGAGACCGGCGTTCACTCTAGTGGACGAAAGTCTAGTCACAATCCGAATCAAAGTGAGATTCTTCAACATCTCGCTCATATGTGCCAATGCCCCGATGGAAGAGAAGGGCGAGGCATCCAAGGATCTCTTATCTTAGAGCGCTGTCCCCGTTACGTATAAAAATTGTTCGTGTCGATTTAAATGCCGAGGTGGGAAACGAAGGGATCTTAGGCGCCAGTGTCGGAAAATTCAGCTTCCACATAGATACGGCTTGCTGAGGCTGATCGAGTTCGTTGGGGCCCGAAACTTGGCAGTATGTAGTATTGGGTTCTAGGATAAAAAGATCCATCAAGCTACATGGGTGTCTCCAGATCGGAAACCAAATCGAGCATGTTGTGATAGACGGAAGGCATGCTTCCAGTGTTTTAGATATACATACGTGCAAGGTAAGTTCAACATCGAATCGCTGCAATCAAAACAGACGGCCAATGGATACGCCGCTCGACTCTCACACCTGCTGTGAGAGAGCACTCTTCAACAAACCGACATACGCGAGCAGTCGAACCACATTTCCCGCTCATTACTGGTACGATGAGGAGTGTCGAGAAGCTGCAGAGAAAAATGCTTGAATGGTCAAGACTCCTGTAGGAATAACCATGGCGACCTAGTGACCACTGTCCAGAAGGTACTCAAATAATTGAGGGAACACTTTTCGACCCTTTTGTAGGGCAGAAGCACTGAAAGAAGTGGAGAAGACGAACCCGAGTCCCCAGTCGATGACGATGGAGTCGATATCCCAGCGCCTGACTATGACGAGGTACGAATAGCGATTATGCTGATGAAAAGTAACAAAGCTGCTTCAGATGACGGATTGTCAGCTGAGCTAATTCAATTACGATGGCAAGGAGCTAATAAGGTGCATTCCCGACGACTGGAATTCAAGTGCGCTCTGCCTAATCCACAAAAAAGGCGGCCCGCGATGTGTGCCAACTACCGCGGGATCAGCCTTCTAAGCATAGGTTGCAAGGTCTTATCGAATGTATTATGTGAAAGACTGAATACCACCGTCAACGAACTGATTGGGCCTTATCAGTGTGGCTTTATGCCTGACAAATCCACCATAGATCAGGTATTCACAATACGCCAAATCTTGGAAAAGACTCGCGAGAATAGGATCGACACACACCATCTATTCGTCGATTTCAAAGCCACTTGCGACAGCACTAAGAGGAGTTGCCTATACGCTGCTAATTCTGAATTTGGCATCCCCTCAAAACTCATAGAGTTGTGTAAAATGACGTTGAGAAACTACCAGCTCTGCCAGAATTGCTTTCGATACTTCCTCCTCGTAAAATAAACAAGTGCAGTAAAAAATTAACTATTTAAATCGACAAATAGTTTTATATCAACTTTTGTGAACTTCTATTTATGTGTTCTTATACAACATATTTAGCTCTATTGGTTACACTAATTTTAAGCTATAATAGACAATTTTTTAGTAAGTAAGTTATTGGTTGTGAAATTTTATTTTTTTGTATAGGCCCCCCTAAATTTCGTTCTGGCTACGCCCTTGTACATACATAAGCATGTACGTAATTACTCACGCTTTTATTTCTTAAGGCCTTAAGGCGAAACTATAAGCAAATAAATATTACATACATGGCAAATGGCACTTTTGGGATACAGTGTCAATTTCGAATCTTAATTTAATTTTCCATCATAGGCCTATTTCTTTTTGCACAGAAAATCAGCAACTTTTTCAGCTCTGTCATCGAATTCAACTTCAACTGATTGCTAAAAATAGACAGCCACATTGCAACTTGTCTTGTAATAGTTGGAAGACCTACTTTACAATAGTGAAAGCCATTGAGTGTAATCTTGATGGGATCCCAAGCGCCGCGTTGTGTTCGATTTTCATTTGCTATTTTTATATACAATAGTTACTCGGCGTTGCGCTTCCTCGACTTACTTAAGTGCATAAATTTGTATGCGCATATGCTGCCAAGTATATGTATTTTTGATGGTATCATACATAGGTACATATATGGACTTTTTTCTTTTGAAATTGGTTTTGCATCCTCACAGAGGAGAACCATATGAATAAGTAGAAATGCTCATAAATACATGCATCTGATTAGGATTGTTACTGAAAAGTGAACATTTAAAAATGGACAGGAAATGAAAATCTCAAACGAAAGACGTTTTTTGAAAAATTCATATCAAAAAGTATCACAAATTATAGAGAATCTATCTTAAAGTACTCAGTAAACTATTCCGTCTAAAATTTCCAAGCCTCTGCAACCAAAATGTCCCGCGTTGCTTAGGGAAATACTCGTACCCTGTTTCCTCAACCCAAAACAGGATCTTTACCGCGAATGCCGTGCAACGGTAATGCAGCTTTGAATATGTTGCAAAACGAAGAGCCCCCGTTCCCGTTGGCATCCCAAATGTGGTTCTAAAGCGGACTATTAAAGAAGACGCAGTGCAGATATGCTTAGAGCAGAGCTGCTTTCCAGACATGTGGAAAGTGTGGAATCTAGTGCTGCTACCGAAACCGGGAAAATCGCCTGGTTTACCTGGATCATATCGACTGATATGCCTATTCGACACCAAGGTGGATTCTAGGGAGGATTATTCTCAATCGTCTTCTTCTCTTCACTGAAAGCGACAACGGCTTATCGCAACGCAGACGGGATCCGAAAAAAGTGGCCAACCACAGCAGCAATAAAAAAGGATGTGGAAACTGCAAAAGATGCAATCTCTGACAAGTGCTGGAAAGGAGATAGAAAGAAATACTGCGCCATAGTCACACGTCATGTCAAAAATGTGTTCACCACCGCGTAATGGGAACAGATTGTGAGATCACTCATGACTATTCAACATCATCCATAGCTACCACAGCGGACGGGTTCTTTTGTGTAATCGAGAGGAAGGGAAAAACGTATGAAATAACAGCGAGAGTGCCACAAGGTTCGGTGCTTCGTCCGACGCTATGGACTATTGTGTACGACAGAGTCCTTCGCTTGCATTTTTACACTGGCGTCAGTATACTGATGACGTAGCACTGCTGATCGTAGCTAAACAAATCACCCAGGTAGAAAGCAAAGAAACCGTTACAATTGGCACATAATAGATTGGTTGAAAAGGATTGACCTTTTTCTAGCCGTGGACAAAACGGAGGCAATGCCGATGAGCAGGCGCAAAAATCCAGAATTAGCAACATGGGAAAGGCACGAAATCATATAATCACGTCGGATACGCTGTATGGGTGTGATAATTGATTGATAGGCTTAACTTTGGAGCGCACGCTGAATATGTAAAGAAGAAGGCTCTCAAAATGCATACTGAGCTTTGAAGGATGCTACCTAATGTTGGAGGGCCAAGAGGCAGTTGGAGGCTTGTGCCTACAAGGGTGGTAAATTCCACCCTCCTGTACGCAGCGCAAGTCTGGGTTGAATCCTTAAAGGTCAAGACGAGCCGTAAACTCTACAGCTCCCTGCAACGATTGCTCGCACTTAGAGTTGCGTGTGTGCGTATAAGACGACATCGGAAGAAGCTGCATTGGTGGTTGCAAACATGGTACCCTGCCAGCTGAGGAATCATCACATATAGCCGAGCGTAAAGAAAATCATCCGCGCGCACTATCAAAGAAAAACAGGTCGAATTCCTTTTGAGACAGCCTGGAAATAGAGGAAGGACAGCGGCATTCCTGATTTAGGAAAATCAGTTCAGCGCACACCTGGTCAAGACAATTTCCATTTGACGCAGTTCTTGACAGCACACGCTATTTACCGTGCCCAGTCTGTAACGTTAAAGACGACAATTGATGCTATCCAACGAAACTGGAAAAAACTCAAGCCCGCAAAATATCGTTAACACTATGCTCGCATAAGAGCGAAATCGGAATAATATTGCAGACATGATTGCCCACCTGTTTATGCGCTTATGGTTGAGGGAAGATGACGACAGGCGCCGCAGTAGATGCCACTTCACTTACAGCATCGGAACTGAACTGATTATCTTAGTGCTCACACCGCTTTCCGACGCAATACTTTACGTTAGTACCCGGGGAAGGATGGTGCAGGACGGTAGGAGGTTTAGTTCGGTTAAAGTCCCACACTGATGCCATACAGGCTTCCGATTCTTTCTCCTCGTAAAAAAAGTACAATACATAATAACAATTTACATTTTCTCCTTAGACTTTTAAGTTATATATCGTATCTTTGTTGCAAGAGTGTCATAATCAAAAAACCAAACAAAAAATCACCGCCGCCTCTTCTTCTATTGTCAAGTCAATTTGTCAAATTTTGGACTTGAAGCGGAACACTGTTGTGGTATGGGAAGAAGTCAAGCCAGTTTATTCAAAACTTAATTTGCTTTTCAACACATATTCCGACTTGAAACCACGGAAAGTCTGCTTTATAAATCCGATAGACTGTTACTAAATATTCGCATACGTTTCACAGCTTCTCAATAATATGAGGCAACCCTTTGCCAAATATATTCGAGATACAGCTTTTCTAAGCCTCTTGACATCCATTTTTTAATATAATTTTCAAATAAATAACTACCTTAATTGAAGTAGGATTTGATTTTTTTTAAAGGTGGCAGCCCTCATCCATGAGTAGGTAATGATTTTATATATCTCCATACCAAGTTCCAGTAATCTATCAAAAATATTTCCTGAGAAATGCAGTATGAAAAATTCCGATTGTATGGCAGGTGCCACGCCTCCTTGTCTATCCTATATTTTAAGTTGAGATAAAAGACACCAGTGTAAAAAATTTCATGATAATCGGTTGAGTAGTTAAAGCGTGAAAGCTTAGCAACCAAACAAACTCACTTTATTATTATTATTATTATACTGAAAAATGTTCCACTGCAGAAAATTACTTAAAAAATAAAAGGAAACCTGAACAAAAATATTTCACTGGTTTTTATTGTTGTAGCAGCTTACTAAACTATCTCTAAATCACGGAATGGACTAAATGTTCTCCTCATTCCCATCTGAGGAAAAGGCCAACGCCGATGGTTCGGGCCGTAGGGATGGGGTTGTTAGATGAGCTGCTGCATATAAAGAAATGGTTAGTGTCGTCTTATTGAAATTGGACTGAACAGTTTAACCTGTTACAATATCCCAAATGGAGTTGTGATAAAGTATCGCCAGCCTTACAAAGCTTTTCGTGTGCGATAGGTGGCCTTGGTCTCCGATGTTGGAATTCAAAGGTGAGAGTTGCCGAAGGGGTTGATTGTTACTCAATAAATGGCTTGTATATAATGGAGAATAATTGTATAGACATACTCGAATTTTATCCCGACAAAAGATTGTTGTTTTATCGATCTAATCAAGGCGAATTTATGCAAGGTGGTGTTACTAGAATTCGCCGAATTGTTTGTTGTATTTTGGGGTACTTCTTGCCGTCATAGTGCGTATAATTTGTTGTTGTAATTTTTGTTTTTCAACCGATACCACCTTGTATTTATTCGTCCTGGATCTAATCTTGTTGAGATCAGTGAACTCCATTAAGTGCCATTTTTCTCTCATTTTTAACCGGCTTCCGAAAAAGGAGTAGGTTATTAGTTCGTCGGAATATTTTTTTTTGTATGTATGTATGTTACCGCATAACTTTCTTCCTCTTTTTGCAACGGAAAGGTAGTGTCTCAGAGTGTCCCATACTAATTTGGTTTAGATCCGATCATTGTATCAAGAAATATATATATATATATATTTTTTTTTTTATTGAGTGGTTTTTTTTGCCAAAAATTACTTATTTTTTTTTGCATAGTCTCCAGTGTGCCAAAAAAGCAAATATCCATTTAAAAAACGCTGAAGAAATGCTGAAGATTTTCATGTATTAAAATTCCTTAAGGCAGTACGGGTTTCTTAAGAAATTTGCTACGCTTTCTACTACGGTTTTCTAAAGCTTTTTGTTAAAAACAGTACAAGGCAACCCGTGTTTGCAACAGAAGTATATGCCCGTTTCATTATATCAGACGTCAAAATTCCTTCGACGGTACTATTCACACAAACGAAATGATGGCAATTTTCGCTTGACAGTTTCCTTAGGAGCTGAAAACTAAAATTTACTTGTAATCCAAAATACTTCAAACTTATTTTGCCGTATTGATTTCTAAATTAAAGCATACCTATTTTAAGCAGTCATATCGTAATTCTGGCCATAAGTTCGGATTAACTGCAAGTGTTAATATGGAGAAAATATGTGCAAAATAAAACCAGTTCATCCGTTTTTTTTTCTTTTAATTTGAAGACATAGAACCGGCTTTTTTCAAATCGCCATTATTCGAATAACTCGAAAACCGGGTTCCGAATAACGGAGCACCCTAATAAATATGAATGTATGCACATTTATTTAAAAAATATGTACTTACCTTGCAAACAGCATAGCATGCCTAACATCAGCAATGTTCGCTCCAGCAGTGGTGACATCTTTTTATACAACACAAAAATCGATTTAATCACAACAACAAACAGCAACGAGTAGGTACAACAAAATTTGTTGGTGAGGAATAAAAACAAAGCGATTGTTGGTTGTGCCTCTGACGCTGCTCTTGCTTTGGTTTTGGTTGTGGGTTTTTACTTTTTTGCTCGGTAGTTTACTTCAAGAGTTTTTAGTTCGATTTGCTAGCTTGTAAGCTTTTTTGCTTGTCGTTATTGTTCTTTTTTTTTTTATTCTACTTATGCTTTTTTCTTGCTTGCTGTGCACTCTTTTTGAATGCTGCTGTTGCTGTTGCCTGCTGCTGTTTGCTCTTTACTTTTCGCTTAATTATCGACGCTCGACTGTGCAACACACGCTAAAATAGATCCACAAATCGGGGCTCGCCTCACACACAGGTACAACGTTGGACTGTTAGCCTCGCAGGCTTATTTGCTGCTGCTTAGCTGGTTAGCTGATTCTTCTGCTACTGCTGCAACTGACTCACTAACTCACTGACACACGACGGACGTTACACACTGTCTTGCTTGCTAGCTGACTAACTGACTGACTGACTGATTGATTGCTTGACTTTCTGTTATGCCGACATCTCGCACTGGACTGTAAAAAAGATAACGGGAGAACGAAAGAAACTAATCGGTTAAGTCACTTAGAAAAATGTGGGGAAAAAAAGAATGTAGAATAAATTGATAATGGCAATCGACGGAATAAATTCAAACGCAAGTAGGTGACATCGTCCCTCAGAGTGCAGTTGTGCAGGCGGAAGCAGCGATGGATGGATCTGCGGGTGGCGCACACACTCCCGGGCGTATATGTAGACCAGCTGGGCGTAAGGAGGAAGCGTGCCCATTATGACATCCAGTGCTCGTTCACAATGACGCTTTGTTGTTGTTCATGCACAGTACCAACTGCACACTAGCCGTGCCTGACGAATGTTTGTGGCACAAAGTAATTGGCCTAATCCACTTTTGTGTGCTGCGGTTGCGGGCTGCAAACTGCGGGCTGAGTGCCAAGAAATGTCAAGCAATCATGTCTTCCTCATTCGCTACATTTGCTTATACATACGTATTTTTTTTTGTAATATCTTTATACCCGAGCGCACTTGTGCACAAGGGTATATTAATTTTGTTCACATAACGGTTGTTTGTAACAGCCAAAACGAATCGAGATAGATATAGACAAATGTATACATAAATGATCAGGATGAAAAAAGAAATCGATTAAGCCATGTCTGTCTGTCCGTCCGTCTGTCCGTCTGTCCGTCTGTCCGTCTGTCCGTGTACACGATAACTCGAGCAAAAATTGAGATATCTTAACGAAATTTGGTATGTAGGTTTCCCTTAATCCAAGGTGGGTTGGTATTGAAAATGGGCGAAATCGGACTTTAACCACGCCCACTTCCCATATAACGGTAATTTCCAGAAATACGAAAACTGCGATATTTTAGTAACTACTAAAGATAATTCACTCAAAATTGATATTTATAATAAGTTTTAAACGAAAAATAAGAATATTATAAATTTTTGGAAAATGGGCGTAGCCACGCCCACTTATGGTTATATGCATATATCTTGGTAACCGCTGCACCAATTTCTTCCAAACTTGGCACAGTTGTTGGCCTTCGCACAACATACTAAACGGCCGAAAATTTTTAAAATCGCTCAATAACCACGCCTACTTCCCATATAACGGTAATTTTCAGAAATACGAAAACTGCGATATTTTAGTAACTACTGGAGATTATTCGCTCAAATTTGATATTTACAATAATTTTTCGACGAAAAATAAGAATATTATAAATTTTTGGAAAATGGGCGTAGCCACGCCCACTTATGGTTACATGTGTATATCTTCGTAACCGCTGCACCAATTTCTTCCAAACTTGGCACAGTTGTTGGCCCTGGTACAGCATACCAAATGGCCGAAACTTTTTAAAATCGGACAATAACCACGCCCACATCCCATATAACGGTAATTTAGAGAAATACAAAATCTTCGATAAATCAGTAAATATTGAAGCTAATTTATTCAAAATTGATACTTGCAACAATTCTTTACCAAGAAATACGTTTATGGTAAAATTTTGGAAAATGGGCATGGCACCGCCCACTTATGATCACATATATGTATATCGGTAACCGTTCTACCAATTTGTACCAAACTCGGTGTGGTTATTGTGCTTGCCACATATAAGCAAAACGTTGAAAATTATTGAAATCGGACTAAAATAACGGCCGCTTCTCATATAACGGTAAATTTCAGAAATGCTTGAAACTTCAATATTTCGAAATTGAAGGACGCTAATTTACTCAAAATTGATACACCCCGGCTTACCATCTAGCGGAAGGTTTCGGAAAGGTGAAAAAACATATTTAATACTTGCGCCGGGTATTTAATGTTCGGCTCCGCCCGAACTTAGACTTTCTTACTTGTTTTTTTTAATTTATTACATGATTTATATTAAACGCGGCGCGCTGTTGTTATTTTTAGTTGATTGCACTATTTGCGCAGACATGCTTACGTATTATCCGACACATGTGTGCAATTTTATTGAAATCGTTGCACTTTTCACTCGATTAGTGAAAATTAACAAAATTTTCATTTAATGTTTCGCAAAAATTATCATATACACATACAAACCGACATACATACATATGTGCATGCGCTGCAATATCGAAACTCTATTCACACTCACGCTCATTGCATTCTCTGTGCCTCTTCGACAGGACAGCTTGCATTTGAGGCAAATGAAAATGGACTCTCTCTTTCATTCATGCACAACTTGTGGTTGTGTGCCGGGCGCTATACTCGTATGAGTATCGAATTGAATCGAATGGAGAGGGAGTGAAATGAAAACGAATGCCGCGATGTTGATGATGTGATGATGTACCTTTGATGGCGCTCACGTTGCGCAGGAACGTTTTGCTGCTACTGCGGTGTTGGGCTTGCATTTTGCATAATCTTCGGCAAACAGCAATGGAAAAGACAACGACTTATGTACATGCATATGTTCATATGTATATAATAAATAGATAGATAGAGCATGTAAGTGCATAGGCTTGTGTCAGAGGGGTTGGTCGCATGTTCGACGGCAAGGGCAGCGATATAGGAAGTGGATTTGACAGTATGTAGTTGATAGGTGGGCGGTGTGTGCTTGGCAAACTCACGTTGCTAAAATGAATATGTCCATATTTATGTACATATGTACGGTATGTATGTGTATATAAATTTGTATGTATGTTTGTACAAACGCAAATGTATTTCGCACAATACCTATATGCAACGATGACGTTATGAACGACCCAAATAATACGGATCGAAGCGGTGAAAAAATATTACAAAACAAAACTGATTGATGGGATGTTAATACCAATGAGTGTGTGTACATACTTTCTGTGAATAGAATTGAGCAAGAGAACTTTCTGTAACAACACAAATTAAGGCAATATAATTCTTCTTAAATATGTTGCATCTTTCTTGAAGCTATAGTATTAGCTGTCACATTAGGCAATATAAAAAATGAAGGCCTTTGTGCTGCCTAAGAGGAGCTTCTCTTGATTTGTTTACTAATCGGTTAATAATCCCGATAGTCATATGTTTCCATCTACTTAGCTTAACATATCATAAGACATCATAACATAACACAGGTTTGAGCGATTTAAATTGATCAAATCGCATATGATTTAAATTGTGGTGAGGTGAGGTTAGGTGAGGTTGAAGTTAGCTAAGGTGAGTTGTGGTGAGATGAGATGAGGTGTAACTAAGTGATAGCTGAAAAACAAGCATATGCAAAGGCGGCCGTGTTTCTTTTTTGCTTTCAAAGTTTTAAAAGAAAACAACATAAACAGGAATAATTTTTTATTTTGAAAAAAAAATTTGGGGATTTTTTTAAATCCGGCTTGAAACAAATTAATTTATAATAACCTCTCTTTGTTTTACATTTATATTTGTTATCATTTCCTCATTTCTAAATATGGTTAGGTTTTTCTAAATATGGTCACCCAAATTATAAAGGCAACCAAATAGTATCAGCTGTTTTCGGTACCGCTCTAATTCTGTTTAAGTAGGCGAAATAGCTGGGCGAACGGTGAACGACAGGATCTCCCAATGCGGCGAAGTTTGGCGTTCGCCGGTTTTGCATTCAAGCATGAGTTGAGATGAGGTGAGTTAAGGTGAGGTGAAGTGAAGTGAAATGAAGTAAAATGAGGCCAGCAATACTCTCTCTCTCTCTCTCTATGTTCCTATCTTCATCTTTTTTCTTTATCATTCTCTTTATTTTTATCTTTAGCCTTATCTTCACAAAAAGTGTTACAAGAATTATATTAACAGGGTTCGACTCAATATAGTTTTTAATCCCAAATCATTTAATGCCTTTGTGAACACAAAGCGTAAGATTAACGGCTATCCCTCAACATTGAAGTTAAATGACTTAGTCTACAGTGACAAAAATATTATTGCCGATATGTTTGCTGGTTTCTTCGAGTCAAACTACTCTGCTATTTCTACATCTTCGCAACCAAATTCGAATCTATTTAGCCCATTTATCGTTTGATTGCATCCGAATTCCATCGATAACTGTTGAGGATATCATTTGAGTTGTTAGAAAATTTCTTATTCAGGTGGCCCAGACGATATACCCACCAGTGTCCTTAAAAGTTGTGCAGAGTATTTGTATAATCCTCTGACAAATATTTTTAATGCTTCCCTAAAACAGGGTGTCTTCCCATCTCCCTGGAAGGATTCGTTTATCTTATCTTGCCACTTTATAAAAATGGAAGTAGGACTAACATCGTAAACTATAGAGCAATTGCGAAGCTTTGTGCTATTCCTAAAATTTTTGAGGCAAGCGTTTCACACTCTATTACTTCTGCTGTTTATCTATCGCAACACGGTTTTCGCAAAGGTAATTTTCTTGAATTCACCACTTATGTGTCTAATGGGTTTAAATGCAATCTCAGAACGGGCCTGATTTACACTGATTTCGGCAAGGCATTTGATAAATTATCACATTCAACCTTTATATATAAACTTCATCGAATTATTTTGCCTCCTATTCTTCTCAGAAGGCTTTCTTCTTAATTAGTAGATAGGAAATAAAGAGTAATTTTTAAAAATTGCACAAACTTAGACTGGAGACTAGGGCTCGCCAGCTACCCAACTTGCTACTTTATATTGTTATTAAAAATGAATATGTATAATTAGTTTACTCTATAAAATATAACACATACTTAAATATCTATATGTACCTTTTTATCTCATTGGTCTGTAAGAACACATTTTTCTGTATACTATTAAATTAAGTCTCACGAGTTGTTTTTTTAGTGTCATTCTCTTCTCTCGGCAAAAAAAGCTAAAGCATTATTCTTACATTTATTTCAATCAATGGTGTGCTCGAAATAACTAAAATAAAAAATAAATCAAGTATTTGAATAATTTTAACGAATTTTAGCCTTAAACGTTTATTTAGTCGAAAAAGTACCGAAATTACTATTTTTCATATTTTTCTTTAAATAACTTTTGGGAAGTTTTCAAATAAAATGTTTATATTAGAGGCAATGGACGTAAGCATCAAATACAACATATCTGTGAATTTTCTAGTG